GTCAGGACTTGTTAGAAACAGGAGTTTAAAGCTTTAAAATGGAGCTAGAATCTCTACTTTGTGTGTTAAACAATGCAAACAGCTTCAGAAGTGACTGAAACTCTGTTTCAGCGTTCAGTGGAGAAGCTTTTTGCCTTTTTTCTGCAATCTGGAATAAAGTTAGAGGATTTTCGGTGACACGTGGGAGAAAATTAGAGCTGATTTTGGAGAAAAAAGGCAGAAAATCTGATTTCCTTTGGAAACTAGTTTGGTTCAGAGGCTCAGATGTTGATGTTTTATTCAAAAAAGGCTAATTAAATGGAGCCGTTTATGTCATTTTAGGCAGTTAGATGGAAGAAAACCAGAGTCAGGACTCATCAGAAACAGGAGCTGAAAGCTTTAGACTGGAGCTGGAGCCTCTATATTGTGTGTTAAACAATAAAAACAACTTTCTTTTTCTTCCTGTAGCTCTGGAATAAAGTTAGAGGACTTTCAGTATCGTTTAGGAGAAAATTAGAGCCGACTTTGGAGAAAAAAGGCAGAAAATCAGATTTTCTTTGGACTCCAGTTTGGATCAGAGGCTCAGATGTTGATGCGTGATCACAGATAAAGAGTTAAAAGTGCTAAATAAAAGGGTTTAAAAGGCTTTGTGAAGATGTCAGGGTTTATGATGTTTGTTTCCACTCAGAAAAACCTGTTTGGTCCCTGTAAACAAAGTCGGTGTGAATGTTTGCTGTCGCTCTGCTTTCCTCTCTCCACCCCCACCCTCGGTCTCCGGGGGGGCCCCGGCCCTCCCACCCAGCCGGCCCCGCCCCTCCGCCGTGACCCCGAGGGCCCCGGGGCCTTTGTGGGGGTCTGGGAATGTGTCTCCTTCAGCGGGACCAGCTGGGAGGAGAGATGCCCCCCCCCCCCATGTCTGAAAGCAGCCCCCCCCCGCCCCATCGGAGCGCCGCCACCTTCAGCCGGGGCCGGATTCCCTCACTCAGGCTGTCCATCACACACACACACACACACACACACAGTCCCTCACTTGTTACACACGTTGAAAACTGCATTTAAGACCATTTCATTGGTCTTAAATGCTGTTTAGTGAAACAGGAAGTGGCTCGTTCGGACGATCTTTATCCATCTTTTTAGCTTGTTTTCAGGAGATATCCCAAACATTTAAAAAAATAAGTCAGTTTTTATTATTTCTTATTGGATTAAGAATAGGAGCAAAGGTCGATTTAGGACCATTTCATTGGTCTTAAATGACGTTTAGTGAAACAGGAAGTGACTCGTTCGGCCTATCCTCATCCATCTTTTTAGCTCGTTTTCAGGAGATATCCCAAACATTTAAAAAATAAAAGTCAGATTTTATTATTTTCTTATTGAATTAAGACTAGGAGCAATGGTCGATCAGTTCCTGGTTAAACGTGAAACGACTCTGCTGTGGTTTAAGCTATTTATCTGTTTCCGGCTCCCATCAGCATCGATCTTTTACTCAGAAACCGGAGCAGAAACTGGGTTTTCTTTTCCAGAATCTCCTCATGTGGAGCCACTGGGTAGAAAAGTGAGCGGGATTGTAGGAAAAAATGTGCTGAAAGTTGCACTGAGGACACAATTTCAAACAAATAAAACACTTAAGTGGAAAACCAAACCAACAAAAGATGTTTTTTTTTACCAAAAACATACGTTTAAAGAGTTAGAAGGAATTTTAGCCTTTTAGATTTCTGCATATTTTTGAAGTTGTATCCACTAAATAAAGCAAAACAACCAACCATAAATGGGCTAAAGGTGAAAAGCAGCACTCTGCAGACTTATTTCATCACTCATGCACAACAATTTGACAAATATTCTGCCAACAAACGCGTTTTCCCTTCAAAAGACAGAAAACTTTACTATGAATTCATCTTAACTCAATGAGACTGAGATTGTTTGGGACTCCTAAAAGAGGCTAAAGGTGTTTCTATCTGATAAATCCAGCTCTTTAAAAGAATATTTACAGCCAGATAAGCTCCACGTTAATCAGTATTTCTGTTTAGTTTGGCCGAGAGACTCCTGAGAAGTGACAATAACCTCCGACAGGCTCCCCCCCATCCCCCCCCGCATCCCTCCATCCCTGACTTCCAAACAAACAGAAACTTAGCGACTCCCGTCGGCCCCCGTTTGGGAAAGTCCAACAGAGAGGATCTGCTCCTCCGCCACGCATTTTTTTCTGTCTCCCCCACGTGGAAACAAACACCGACGGGCCCCAGAGACGAAAGCCCACAGAAAAAGAGGGGGGTGGGGGAAGGGGGGAAAAGGCCGAGAGGGAGGACAGCCCCGAGTGAACTTTCTGCTCATTAAGCCTCGAAATATTCCTTTCTCTGCACAGAATCAAGGTCTCGGTGCCTCTTTTTCTTTGTTAGAGGAGGCAGCAGCTGCTGGGAGGGTGGAAGTGTGGAAGAATGCAGTGGACTGGGCAGAGATGGTCACTTCCAGCTGCTCTGGCCCATCAGGCGGCTGGATCCAGGGGGCTGTTTTTTTTCCGAACGCTCCGGGCCGCGGCTAAAAGCAGGAAACTCGGGGTTCCGGTCACCGTTTCAGAGCCACCGACACCAAAAAGCTGCCGCTTTTTACTCGAATCGACTCAGAAATGTGACCGACCCACTGCTCTGTCCACTCGTTTCACAGGGACATTTATTAGCGTCGCGCAGCGTCTGTTTTCTCAGAAAATACTGAGAAAAAACGGAAAGATCTGGGGGATTTTGATGGGAAAGAAAAGAGAAAACGTTGCTTTTCCCGTTTTATGTCTGCATTTTTTTTACCAAGGAAGCGACATTTCTGTTTAGTTTTTATTTCTAACTCATTTTGCCTCTGCTGAATGAACACAGAATACATAAAAACTGTTGTTATCAGGGCCTTAAATCAGCCTAAAACGTCCCAAAAATGCCCCCTTGATCATCAGCTGCTGCTTTGCTCTTTTTTCACTTTCATTTTGAGCTTTTGACTATTTTCCTGCAGAGAAAAGCAGGAAAACCAGAGTTTCTCAGGGCATTTCTATGGAAAGTATCCCTGTTTTTTATTATTTAAAGAGGGTGTAGCTTTGTAAATACACAAGCCTTTATGTGGCCACTATCCAAGAAATGTGGCAAACATTTGATTTGCACATTTTAGGCTGAGATTCCTAAAGAGTGAGTCATTTAAAATGGGAGGAATTTGAGTAAATATCATTTTCGGGAGGCAGAAACCAAGGAAAGTTGTTACAGTTGAGATGGAGCCACTTATCCGAGGGTGTTTGGTGAAATTTGGGTCAGTAGATCCAGATGAGATGAACAAAATCACCCACTTTCATTGACTCTGAAGAGAAGCTGGACCCTCACAGGCCAGAGCAGATAAAGCAAAGCACATTATTAAGGGTGTAATCCCATTAAACTGCTCAGACGAGCTGCAACCAGCAACCACTCCTTAATCCAAAGGAAAACAAACCAGACATGGAGACATTTAAGCCTCAAACCCCGAACCAGAACAAGCACGAGCCCAGATGTGTCGGCCACTGAGACTTTACCCAGTTTAATACCACGACCACGTCAGAAAACTCCCACATTTGATTCTTCTCGCCCCCAAAAAACCCAAACAAACATCAGTTCCTGGTGCACACTCTGCACCTTTTTAGCTCTCCTGGTTAAAAAAAAAAGAACAAAAAAGGCCACAAAAACACACATACGGGGGTGTTTTCGTCTCCCCAAACTGCACATTTCCTCCATGCTGACCCACATAGACTCCGAGCCAACATCTGGCGGACGGCTGCTGGAGCCCAGAGCAGAAAAGGCTGGGTTTCTTTTCTGGATTTAAGCCTGATCTGGACGCAGGTCCACAGCCAGTGGCCTCGTTTTGGGGGCTCAAAAGTTGCATCCAAACACATGTATTATTTCCCCTGATCTTTAAACATGGGGGGTGGGGGGGGCATAACAAAGCCACAGCAGCCCACCAGGTCAGGCGGTCTTTCTTACCTGTGTCCTGCCGGAACTGGTGCATGGACTGGAGGTCTATGATGTACGGCGACAGCCGGCTGTCGACCTGGCCGAGGACCACGCTCCCTCCGCGGGCGTCGCCGCTCCGGACGGCCGCCTCGATCTGGTGCGAGACGGCCGGGCTGTAGGGCCGCCACCGGCCGTGCTCGTTCAGCCATTCCCACACCACCACCGCGGAGGCCAGGAGCATGCTGCTGTCGGCCCTGGAGGGGGGGGGACACCCACCCCCAAACACAAAGAGACTGCTGTGAGCGGAGGAGAGTGGGGGGTTTGTTTGTTTTTGCGGAGGGAGACGCGGCCCGGGTGGAGGTTAACCGGCCGGTCGGCGGAGGGACACGGCTGCTTTTATCCCGGGTTTGGGCTTCAACCGGCCGCGTGAGAGCCCCAGAAAAACAGGCCGAGGGAGCCCCGGATAAAAGCCGCCAGCCGGGTGCCGCCAACCGGGGAGAGGCGGCTCCCTCCGCCGGCCGCGGAGCTCCGGGCTCCAAGCGTTTCTTAACCGGGGGGAAAGCGAATCACGGTCCCGAAAACAAGCCCGGACCGGAGCGGGGGGAGCCCCGGGGCCTGGAGGCGGAGGCTCCCGGCCGCAGGTCGCCTCTCCCGGGCGGGCTTTCGCGGCTCCTCCGGTGAGGCGTTCACGGCCTTTCCGCGGCGGGCTGGATCCCGGAGCCCGGGCAGAACCGGCCCCGGCAGGGGGTGCAGACAGACACCGATGGGGTGGCGGGTTTCCGAGCCACCCCCCCCCCCCGGCCGCTTCCCACCGCGCAGCCCCGCGGCTCCACACGCCGGAGCGGGCGCGCAGAAACCGGTCCGGCCGGTCCGCGGAGGCTGCCTCCGGATCGGCCCCTCCGAGCCAAACCGAAAACCCTTCCAGCCCCACTCATCCGCGTGCCCGTTGCAGGGCGGATTATTACCAGTTCTGCACAATTTCCCCGGACACAAATAAAGCATTCACCTGTTGATACGATCCTCCTGGTCCTCCCCTCCTAATCCAAGACTTCTGGCACAAACTTATTCATTAATTAAACCCGCAAACCCTTTAGGCTCCAGCATGGCTCGGTCTGTCGCTCCCTCTTCCTCAAAAGCAGAAAAAAAATCCACCTTTTTTTTCTTCTTAGATAAAACGATATACTCCACATAAACGGGGACAGATTCCTTTAAAGGTCCGTGTTTATTCCCTCGGCGTCCATCTTCACTCCACGGAGGAAAACCCGATATGAGTAAGGAGGGACGGGCTTATTTTTCCCCCCTCACGGTCCTCTCCCTGATCCTGCCTCTGTCCACGCCCTCGAAACCCACCCGTGGACTTTAGGGAGGGATCACCCAAAGCCGTTGGAGCGTTTCATGCCAAGCTTCTTACTCATTGAGCTTCAGTTTTTAGCACTTCTTTATCCATGTTTTTATCCCATCCTGGTCGCGCTGTTTCTTCACGCTTTACAGAAGAGAAATAGCACAAAATGTCCCTGCTGAACTGATTTTTGAAAGCTATTTTCCGCTGGATTCTTCGACCTAAAGTTGTTGACGTGTCATGGCGGCGGTGGTGAAATGCTGCCACCTGGTGGAAATATTTAGCTACTACACCAGCCAAACCACCACTAATTTCTGTCATTTTGGCAAATAAACACGGCAAATAAAAGCAGTTTCTTAGCAGAAAAACACTTAGATATAAATGTAAAATACTTTATGAGATAAACACAGAGTTTGCTCTATTCTAAGCCGTTTTAAATTGCCCTTCTGGTGCTACATATAATAAAGCTTGTTGAATTCAATTGAAAGTCAGCGTGAGTGTCTATATTCTCCATCAAAACCTGACCCTTATTTGTTCATATTTTATATTGTTTTGTTTTTAAATACAAAGAATGGGATTTACTTTGTTGGATATACTGACCTCTGCTGCTGGACTCATGCAAAAAACATAATCATGTGCTGAGTACATGACCAATAGAGAGATTCACCCCAATGGAGGCTACAACATCCAACAGCAAAGTTAGTTTGTGACATTTGCTTTAAAGACCAGAAGATATGGACAATAACTTCTGCTAAACGTTTGGTCAGAAGGCACACAAGGGTATGTTTAAATATTTTATGTTGCATGTGAGCTTTATTTTAGTTGTAAATGTTAAGTGGCTAACGTCTGTTTCTATTGTGCATTCAATATAGTTGACACAGTTTGCTTTATTACTTATTCAGTAAATGGATTTATTACAGGCTATGTCTCCCTATGTCTGCCTTCTTGTACAAGTTGCTGTTAAAACCAGGATGACGTCTGCTACGTGCAGCACAGGCTCCATAGCTCAGGGGTTAGAGCACTGGTCTTGTAAACCAGGGGTCGCGAGTTCAAATCTCGCTGGGGCCTGACATCCTTTTTTTTTCTCGATGTGTTAGTTTAAATCACAGCAATTTTGCAAACAGTTTACAAGTTTAAACAACCTCATAGCATGAGGAAAGAACCTAAACTTAAAATACGTTGTGTTTGAAGCGTTTTAAATGTTGTCTCTTTGACAACATTTCTCCCTTTTGACAAATGAAGGGAGAAAATGACGACTGTTGTCGTTAGCTTTAGCAAAAGCAAAGCTAACTACAACAGCTAGTAAAACGAACGATACAGATAGGAGGCTTAAGGCCGCAAATGTTTTTAATTTAACAACCTTAAGTATTAACAGTATTAACTTCACGATTTCTTACATTATTTTTGAACAGATTTTATCGGTGCTTCTGTATTTCTGGCGGTAACAAGACCCAGAAAACAACACCGGGATGTGTGTGGAGGCATATTGTCTTTCCTGTGCCACAGCCGTCAGAGCCCGGATAGCTCAGTCGGTAGAGCATCAGACTTTTAATCTGAGGGTCCAGGGTTCAAGTCCCTGTTCGGGCGGTAACTTTTTTGGTTTTTATTTTATTTTTTCATTTTACCTGTACACACTACAAATAGTTATTATTAACCCTTTAACGCCTGATCCAAGAATAAAACTAAAACAAAAAATTACTTCTTTTTTTTTTAATTCCTTACTTGGCCTTTTAACAAAATATGTAAAAAGAAAAAACAGAAATACTTTTTTACTATTAATAATTTATTACTATGCGATAAGTCAAGATAATTTTTTGTGTAGTCTTCTGCCCCCTGTTATCAGGTATATCTGATTGTGTACAATAGGATTTTGAGCAAAGTTTTTACCATTAACTTAAGCAAAAGGTGTCAGAGGCAAAACATTTCTCAAATATGATACATTTGGTATTATAGGCTTAAATTATTTACCACAATTTGTTGCACATGTGCAAAAAAATGCGACCAGTCTAGAATAGCTGATATAAGATTTAGCCAATTTGTGAGAGAATGTTAAAGAATTATACAGAAAGTAAATAACAATTTTGCGACTCTCCACACCTGTTTTTCCAAGAAGTCTACATTTTTGCCTGTAAAAACTTAAAAGTGGTGAATATTGTTGTTCTATTAATCAGTTTATTAAAAAACAAAATTATAAAATGCGCGAAAAAAGATATTACATGATGAAAAAAACACCAGGAGAAAAAAAACAGCCCACATGGATAAAAACGTTTGCTACATTAAACTACTTTTTTCTATGAAATTATAAAAAGGAAGTTATTTCACTCAAGCACAAATCAGAAAAGAGCTTTTTCTGAAAAAAACCTTAAAAATAATCACTTTGTCCTCCCTAAAACCTTTCAGTGTTCAAATTAATATGATACATTTTTTTTTTAAATTACCTTTAAGCGACAAAAGCTTTTATTAATTCTGAAGAATGATACAATTAATTAGGTTGAAAAGGCATCTTAAATTTACACTCAGACACAGTTTACATTATTATATGGACAAAAAGTGGTAAAAATATACTAAATATTCATGACAATAAACGAGGCGAAGTTAAAAAAGAAACAAAAAGAAGTGAAATTCAAGGAAGAACCATCCCATGCTTCTGCCCTCATGGCCGGAGGTTCCTGCTGGGCGTCCCCCTCTGCCTCTGGCGGGTTTTCCAGTGCGTGATGCAGACGGCCAGCGTCATGACCAGCAGCCCGGAGCCCACCACCACGCAGTAGGCGTGCCGGAAGCCCGGGGTCTGGAGGCCCGGCGGCTCGGCTGCAGACGCACAGACACACAAACCAGCCTGAAACTTCAGCATGACCATTAACCGCACGGTACATCTAATTCCTGCAAATGTTATTTAAAAAAGCACCCCAAAAAAGCCCCAAACTCTACAAATAGACGTAAATCTATCCAAGATTCTAAGTTATTTTTGTTCTTTTGCACAGTAAAAACACAAAGTAAACATGAATGGATGTAAAATGACCGCAAAGATACACAATAGGCCAACACGAAGACATACAAACATCACAAAAATGCAAAAAAAAACAGCACAAGCAGACATGAAATGACCACAAAAAGAAACAAAACGATCCTGGAAACACAAATTTACCACAAAAGCAGGCAAAATGACAACAAAGAAACTCATTAGACACACAAATTACCAGAAAAAGACACAAAAAAGACAAAACAATCAAAGATAGTTTAATAAATACAAAAAAAAAAAAAAAATCGTTTTTCAGCATGTTTGTGTGTTATAACTGTTGTTTGGTTCCTTTCTGAGGATATTTTAAATTACTGTGTTTATTTGTGGTATTTTATGTGTATCTTTGTGTCAGTTTTGTGTCTCTTTTTCTTAGTTGTGTGCAACCTTTTGTAGTACATTAACACCTTTTTGTGTTGTTTTCTGTTCTTTGGGGTGAGTTTTATGTGTATTTCTCTGTTTTTGTTAGCTGTGTGCATCTATTTATGGTACTTTAACTTCTTTGTGTACTTTTTGTTGTGCATCTTTGTGATGTTCTTTTGCATATTTCTCTCTTTTTGTTAGTTGTGTGCATCTCTTTGTGGTACCTTAACATCTTTTTGTCTTGTTTTGTGCGTCTTTGTGACAGTTTAATGTGTATTGTTCTGTTTCTGTTTGTTGTGTGCATCTGTTAGTGGTATATTAGCATAATTTTGTGGTTTTCTCTCAGAATCCAGCCGCTAATGGAGTCTGAATCTCCCATCCTGTAAATCTCGCTTTCGACATATTTGGGCAGCGCTTTGCTCTCGGAGCTGTCCCTGAACGCACCCACCCTGCAGCAGCGTCCCGGCTCCGACCTCCAGCCGCGAGGTCACCATGGCGAGGCAGTAAAACAGGCCCAGGTCTCCCTCCTCCACGGGCTGGATCCTCAGAGCCAGAGACCTGTTGGCCAGGCCCACCGAGTACCGGGAACTGAGCTGGAACCCTGCAGGGAGCAGAGACACCACCATGAGCCGGAACCGGGCCAGAGCCAGGCCAGAACCGGGCCAGAATCCAGCCTTTATCCGATCCAGAGCCGGGCCTGGAGCTGGGCCTGAAAAGGAGCCAGAACCCGGACCAGGAGCCGGAGCAGGAACCAGGCCTGAGCCAGAACTGGGCAGGAGCCGGAGCCGATCCGAAACCCAGAATCCGGCCTGGAGCTGGGCCAGAACCCAACCTGGAGCCGATCCAGAACCTGGCCTGGAGTCATAACCCGGCTAGGACCAGCCGGGCCAGAGCCAGGCCAGATCCGATCCAGAACCTGGCCTGGAGCCGATCCAGAACCCGGCCTGGAGCCGTGCCAGAGCCAGGCCTGGAGTCGGAACCCGGTTAGGAGCTGGGCCAGATCCGATCCAGAACCTGGCCTGGAGCCGATCCAGAACCCGGCCTGGAGCCGGGCCAGAGCCAGGCCTGAGCCAGAACTGGGCCAGAGCCGGAGCCGATCCAGAACCCAGCCTGTAGCCAGGCCAGAACCTGGCCTGGAGTCGGAACCCGGTTAGGAGCTGGGCCAGAGCCGGGCCAGAGCCAAGCCTGAGCCAGAACTGGGCCAGAACTTGGCCTGGAGCTGATCCAGACCTGGAGCTGGGCCAGAGCTGGAGCTAGAGCCAGTCTGGAGCCAGACCAGAACCCGGCCTAGTGCCTGGCCGGAGCCGGTCCAGAACCTTTTAGTCACCTTGGAGCGGCCGGCCCTCCCGCAGGCCGCCGCTGGCCACCACCTCGGGGGTGCGTCCGGCCCTGTGCCTCAGCCAGGTGGTGTCGAACAGGTAGGAGATGTTACAGGTCAGCGAGGCGGCCGCGCCCAGCTGGACCTGCTGGACCTCTGCCGCCGCCACCAGCCGCATCCAGAACCCGGCGGGGAGGAGGAAACCTGCAGGGGTCAAAGGTCAGCTCACATTCCATCCCGAGGGATTCTGTGAGGCCTCCATAAACCCCCAGATGCTAAAAACTTCCATCCCTTTGCTGTGTCGCGTTTCCTGTGGGATCTGAGTTTTTTACTGGGTTTTTAAGGCTTCTGTGCCCTCAAGCAATCAGACATTTTCTTCTATTTCCTTTTTCTTTCCTTCATTTAACTCAATATGAAGTTTAAATAACAGCCAGCTCCTAAATCCAGTCTGTAAACAGCTAAAACGGCATTCCTCTGCTCCAAAAACCTGGTTCTGGTCGTCTAAAGCATCAGACCTGCATGGGGGGGGCTCTAAAAACCTGGTTCTGGTCCTCTAAAGCCTCAGACCTGCCTGGGGGGGGCTCTAAAAACCTTGTTCTGGTCCTCTAAAGCCTCAGACCTTCATTTGGGGGGGCTCTAAAACCTTGTTTTTGTTCTTTGAGGTAAATATACGATTTTTATTGTAATGCAGGCATGCAAGCATGCTAGCAAAACTTAGCATCGGACAGAAATTTAGAAACCTTTTGTGAACTTTGTGGCTTTCTGGATTTCAGACTTGTCGTGGACTCTATTTTCCTGGAGTAAATTACCTGGACCCTTAATAAAGCTGTGGAGTCCCTCATGGATCTGATTCGTGCCCCCTCATGTTCTCTCTTATCTCACATGTGTTTTCTGTCGCTGACTTTTCTCCTAGGTTTACGCTAATCAACCTGAGTTAGCAGCTGGTTTCATGCCTGTTTCATGGTTTCTGTCCATTCTGATTCTTTAGTCATTTCCTTTCAAACACAAACGGCAGAGTATGATATTTTTCATCCAAACCTAACATCTAAGTCTCTTTGTCCTGTTTGACCCATTAACTTTAAGTTTTAATCACATTTAAACTGTTTCCTGCCTTAAATCTTGGTCTTAAATAAGAGTAATTCAGTACTCACAGAAAAGAATCCTCTCCATCCTGTGGGTCTCCATCTTGTGTTTTTATCCTTTCTGTGCTTGAGTGACGTTTTGGTTTGAACAGACCACACCAACTTCCTTTTACCTCCAGCCAATGTTTCCACTGAGCACCCACTTGTGAAAGTATGTGAAAGTCCCCTAAACCAGAAAACCCAGCAGGTCCTTTGGATTCGGCTATTAAGAGCCACCCTGCTTTTTATGCTCTTCACCTGAGCTCAAACTTCATGTTACTCTGTTTTTCTTCTTCATTACACCAAATTAAGTTAGAATTTTAGGCCAGATTTGTGCTCTTTTGTGACCTGATTTCCTGAATCTTAGCTGTTTAAAAGTATTTTGGGTATTTTTGAGCTTTTTTTAAGAGCGTTGGCCAGACACTGAAGATGCTTTGTGTGAAATTTAAAAAGTTAATGGACCTCAGTGAGTATGATGGTGTCATTTAACAGGAAGTACAAACCACAAAACTTACACTTACCTTCACACTTAACAACAGCCTCATCCTCACAATGAGAAAATAGAGACAAGAAGCCCAAACCAGACTTTAGCTGGTGAGAACTAATGAAACAAACAATTAAAAGGATGTGAAATTATCTAACAGTAAGATGTTGGATTTGGGAGATTCTCTGTAACTTCCCCCCAGAAAGAGGAAGGTGGTTAGATGTGGACTTACCGGCCAGTATCATGCAGAATTACAAAAATCTATCTCACTCACAGAGCAAAGTAATAAAACTACTCAGAATAGATTCATCTATCAGGCATCTCTGCAGACAGAGCCGCCATTAAAACCAACATTTATATAAATATTAATATATGGGATGGCCTCAAGGGGGGCTAAAGTCTCCCTAAGAAAGACCCAATGATACCAATGGTTATTAAAGATGTACCATACACTCTGTTAACAACAGAAGTAATTCAGAACAAGGACCAAAAATCCTACAAGGACCAAAAATCCTACTCTAGAATATCATCATCTGGGATTTATGGGGTGTTTCAAGATCTGGACACAAAAGTATTTTAAAAGAGAGTTGAAAAGTAAATCAGGGTTAAACAAACTCAGTTCACCCCCCTCGAAGCATTTAATTGTATCTTTTTTACTTCTGAATACTCGTTGAATTGTCTATTTATCCTATCCATGAAAAAACGGAGGGCTCTACCCGTCGTCCAGTAGATGGCCCACACGATAACCCCAAAACCAACGAAGAAGAAAAGCAAGCCGGAAGTAAGGAAGAAGAACCACTCAGCCGCTTCCTGTTTTCCGGATGGGAAAGAAGGGATTCCCCACATATTTCTGTGTCCTTCTCAGTTGGTTTACAGGTGATGGCAGCCTCCGCCGGTTGCTTTTGAGCCCCGCTTGTCTTCGCCTATCGGAGTGATAACAGCAGGAAGTGTCACCGGATGACGGCGCGCTCTCAGGTGAGGCGCTAGCTAGCGTTAGCATTAGCATTAGCATGTTTGCTTTAGCTTCGCAGCTGTCAAACCAGCTGTAGTGACTCACGTTTGGAACCGGGAGTACGTGTTTTCAGCCCTGGAACGCCGCCAGGAAGCATTTATTCAATTATTTGATATATCGGAGATAATTTTATCCTCCGCCTGAATTGGTTCGAGGGTATGCTAACGTAAAAAAGTTGAGATGAACGTGAAACTATTTCCCGGTTTTTTTATTTTTGCCACAAATATTTCTGCTTATCTGATAACTTTTATTACTGGACAAATACCGTAGTATTGATTATTCATGTCGTTTTAACAAGTGTTATGAGGCTATCGTCATTTATTTGCAGAATTTATTAAAATGCCCAAAAAAAATCTTGTTTGTGTCAGGCAGTATCTCATTTATGTTTTGTATATTATTGTAAAATACATTTGCCAACTCATTATCTGCTCTCGTACCTTAGTAAAGGAAAGTCAGACAGAGTTTTGTTACCTGTAATACTCATCATTTTAACAGTAAAAAGGCTCAGCATAACTACATATTTGTGTATGATAATGATAGTAATCATGTTCTCACGGAGAAGAAGCAGCTATAATCCAGGCTGGTATTTGTGGTTTTTCGTGTCCTGAGGTGTCGAACAGGGCGGCACCTAACTCTTAAATGAATCTCCTCCCTGTTCCAGGATGGCAGGAGTGTTTGACATCGACTTGGAGACTGAGGACATCAGCGACACAGAGGTTTGTAAAGCTTACGGGGCTCTTTAATGGAGCCTCTGCGCTTCTCTAACCTCTTTGCTTTGCTCTTTTGTCTGAAGGAGGATGACTGTGCCTTCACTGTGGCAGAGCCTGACAAGTAAGTTCAGTTAAGCCTCATCCATAAACCTCATCCAGGAATGTGGCTGCACATTTCCACCACACGACATTGAAAAGAATCCACCCATCCTACTTCTAAGCCTTAACTTAAGGGTTTTAGTTCCCTTGTTTTTGGTTCCAACCAAAAGTCCCTTTAGCATCGCTGTGTTTTTGTGGTTTTCATTCCCAGATTAAGATGTTTTTGTCTTTTTAGATGGCTTTAAAAGCCCTTTGGCCCATCTTAAATGTGATAAACTTCAGAACTTTTTTCATTTTAACGGTTTTTGGGGGGTTTGACTGTTTTTCCTGCTTCAGTGTTCTGAAAGCTGCCTTGAATAAATCAGAATTGCGATGTAATCCTGCATATCTGATCGGTTCCTGCTGCTTTTCCAGTGTTCAGACGGAGGAGGTGGAGCTGACCAGCGAGAGTGTGAACAGGGACAGCGAGCGAGTCGGACCCGACTGCTTTGAGCTGCTCACCGTTCTGGGAAAAGGAGCCTATGGCAAGGTGTGCGTCTGCCTTCTGCCTCTCAGAAATGTCAACTTTCACCTCATTGTGCAGTTTATTAAAAAAAAACAACCCTCTTTCTGTCTTTCTCAAAGGTTTTCCAGGTCAGGAAGGTTCAGGGTGCTCAGACCGGGAAAATATTTGCCATGAAAGTACTGAAAAAGGTAAATGTTCTGTCCCTTTCCCAGTTTCAACATGTTTTGTTGCTACAGGCTTTTTGTCTTTCAGGCTAAGATCGTCTGCAACGCCAAAGACACGGCGCACACGCGAGCCGAGCGCGAGATCCTGGAGACTGTGAGGCACCCGTTCATCGTGGACCTGCTGTACGCCTTCCAGACCGGAGGAAAGCTCTACCTCATCCTGGAGTGTCTGAGTGGTAAAGGGAGGGGGGTGGATTATGCACAAATCTGCTCGTTTTAAGAGGGGAGCAGCCTCTGAGCCCTTGTTTTTCCCCAGGGGGGGAGCTGTTCATGCAGCTGGAGAAGGAGGGCATCTTCTTGGAGGACACAGCCTGGTATGGAGCCTTCTTATGAATCTTTATTTTTATTGAAACTTTTAAGAATGCCCTCCCATTAATTGGGATCAATTGACAGGCTTAGACTTGATAGCGGTCTGGAGGCTTTTAACTTGTTGTCTGAGGGTCAGGTTGACCTGGGAGCACAGAAGGGGGCAGGAAACGGGGGGGTTAAGGACTCACTGGACTCTGCTTTTGTTTAGTTTCTACCTGGGAGAGATCACAATGGCTCTGGGTCACCTCCACTCCAACGGCATCATCTACAGAGACCTGAAACCCGAGAACATAATGCTCAATCACCAAGGTAACCGCCTCTGGAGGTCTGCTCCATCCAACCCGTTCAGCAGATCATTCCCAACAAACTCACAGAGACTCAGGGTTAAGGCAGAATGAGTAAATAGATGAGCAGAGTTAGAGGTTGGATTACTCTGAGAGGAGGAGGGGGGCAGGATGGATGAAAGAGGTGTTTCTGACATTTAAGCTTGAAAAGCTCAGATTTTTCCCTCAAAGTCTCCGTAGTTTTGTTTGAAAAGACTCGCAGACATCTCTGAACTCTCCCTGAATCTTTAACATCTCTGCAGGATTGTGCTAACGGAGCCCTTTAAGGACATCGAATCCTTCTACTGTCCTTATTTCTGTTTTTGCTGTCTGTATTGTTTACGTGTTGACACTCCTTCACATTGGCAGCCATTCTTTGTTGGGATGGAAAGAAAACCTGGAAAAATAACATAGAATGGAAGATCCTCCTGTTACACTTCACTTCACTGTTGAAATTGCTTCCAATAAAGAAAGTTAAAATTAGAAAAAATCATCTGAACATAGTTTTATTTAGCTCTGGGGCGCATAGAACAACTGTCCTCCAGTGAGTTCAAAATCTGTGTAAAAATATGTCTGTTTTTTGGCTCAAAGCTGGTTTAAAAAAAGGGGCTTAAATGTTTCCAGAAATGTTCTCTGGCTGGATCAGGAGTTCTGAGCCATCCTTGTTTTTTTCCTGTGTGTTTGTGGCAGATAGTCTCCTCTGATTCTCTCCTCTCCTTCTGTCTTTGAAGGCCACATCAAGCTGACCGACTTCGGGCTCTGTAAGGAGTCCATCCACGACGGCAGCGTCACGCACACCTTCTGCGGCACCATCGAATACATGTGCGCTCAAACTGGGAGTGTTACTGGGATGGATGCAGTTCATGGTTTCCTGTCTGGGTTTTCACTCTCTGTGCCCCCCCCCCCCCCATTTTCCCTCCAGGGCCCCAGAGATCCTGACCCGGTTGGGCCACAACAGAGCCGTGGACTGGTGGAGCCTGGGGGCGCTGATGTACGACATGATGACCGGATCGGTAAGAAACCCCCCACACACACACACACACACACACACACACTCGTAGTGAGTTCTGCAAGAAATCCTGGGACTGGGACCAGTTTTCCACAAAATAAAATGACCCAAATATCTGGAAATCAGACATTTTCACAGCTGGCGAGGAGAAAATATTGACTTTTAAACCTGGAAGTGGCTAAAAATCCAGATGAATAAATAAAAAGAGGGAAAATGGCTTTAAAAAAAGCCAGAAAACCTGCTTTCTAATTTAAATGTATGAATCAACTGAATGCAGGCAGATGACTGAATCAACATGAATTTATCATTCTGTCCTGAAAAAGAAATTTAGCAAATGGGAAAGTTTTCTTTTTTTTCTTTTGAAAATCCAGACGAATAGATTAAAACGAGGAACAATGGGAATGTGCCAAATTGTTTTGAAAAGCCCCAAAAACTGAATTCTAATTGAAAAGAGTCGGAAGTTAGAAATAAAAGAACAACTGAACGCGGGCTGAGGACTGAATGAACATGAATTTATCATCAGATTTCAGTCCTGAAAAAGACATTTTCTAAAAGGGAAAGTTTGATAAGCTTTAAAGACAAAAGATAAATAACAAAAGGCCCTTTAAAAGGAGCCATAAACGGCCCCCAGCTGCCTCTGACTGCTCTGATCTTCCACCAGCCTCCTTTCACCGCCGAAAACAGGAAGAAGACCATCGACAAGATCCTGAAGTGTAAGATCAACCTGCCGCCATATCTGACCATCGATGCCAGGGACCTCATCAAGAAGGTTTGTTACTGGCTCAGGGTTCAGCCTCTAGATCAGGGAGCTTATTGATTTAAGGGCCAATGTAACAGAGCTACAGCATCTTGGTTAAAGCGCCCGGCAGCTAAATTATATCCCACAAAAAACGACAAGAAAACAACATATGAACAGAAACGAGAACATCAAATGAATATTTTTTCTAAATGAACAAACAGAAAAATATGTATGTATCCAAACTTCCTAGATATGAATTTTGGATTTACAAATATATACTAATCATCCTGAAGTCATCTCTAGGATGTTTGTTTAATCCAATTTATTTCCACAAAACATTTGAAAGATCCCCTCATTTTTCAAATATTAACAATTTTCCCTTCCTAGAGCTGGTGATCTATTCCAGAGGTGACACACCAGGGCACCAGATTGGGGTTATAAAGCTTAAAAAAAGCTTTATAATTATATTTATCACTACCTGCTTACTCTTTGTAAACTCAGTTTCTGTCCCACCTCAAGTGGAACAGTGTTTCTTTGGCGTTATTCCACTTCAAACCCACATTTCAGTCATATCTATTCAGTTTTCCTGGTGTTACATAAAATAAGGTTTGAGCTTCTTTAAGAGACAACAGGTGCATTTGGGTTTGACCTGTTGGCTGTGTCTGCTTCCAGCTGCTGAAGAAGAACCCGGCCCAGAGGCTGGGCTCCGGCCAGGCCGACGCCGCCGATATCCAGGTACCGCCGCAGGATGCTGGGAGCTGATCATCCACCAGTTTTCAGGCCACATTCTGTTGATCTGGGTTTGGTTTGAATGAAAACAGCAAAACAAAGGCTGTTTGTGGTTTAGATGTTATCCACGTCAAACCAAGGATGAAGCCGAGTAACTCGAATGAGCTACTTAAATAAAAGGAGCAAATTTATTTAGGATTTTAGGCTGAAGACAGTCAAATATGACAGATACCTTCTGTAAAATGAGAGAAAATGAGAGGGATGAGGGGAGGTGGGCTAGATGACACCCCTAAAAAGGGAGAACTGACCAAATGCTCCTGATTATGAATGTCAGAGGATAATTATGATGATATTAATGGTGATAATCCTAATGATGATAATCCTAAAGATGATAATCCTTATGATGATAATCTTAATAATGATAACTCTGATGATAATCCTAAAGATGATAATCCTAATGATGATAATCTTAATAATGATAACTCTAATGAAGATAATCCTGAAGATGATAATCCTAAAGAGGATAATTCTAATGATGATAATCCTGAAGATGATAATCCTAAAGAGGATCATTCTAATGATGATAATCCTGAAGATGACTATCCTAAAGATGATAATCCTAAAGATGATATTAATGATGATATTAATGATGATATTAATGATGATAATCCTAAAGATGATAATTCTGATGATAATCCTAAAGATGATAATCCTAATGATGATAATTCTAATGATGATAATCCTAAAGATGATAATTCTAATGATGATAATTCTAATGATGATAATCCTAAAGATGATATTAATGATGATATTAATGATGATAATCCTAATGATGATATTAATGATGATAATCCTAAAGATGATAATCCTAATGATGATATTAATGATGATATTAATGATGATATTAATGATGATAATCCTCTCGTTCGTCTGCAGAAACACCCGTTCTTCAGACACATCAACTGGGACGAGCTGCTGAGCAGAAGTGTGGAGCCGCCCTACAAGCCTCGGCTGGTGGGTCACGTGACGGGCCACGTGGGGATCATGTGACTGGTAATGTCACATGACATCCACAAACTGATCCCTCTCCCCGTGCCGCCCGCAGCTGTCGGACGAGGACGTGAGTCAGTTCGACAGCCGCTTTACCCGCCAGACGCCGGTGGACAGCCCTGACGACAGCACGCTGAGCCACAGCGCCGAGCTGGCCTTCGCCGTGAGCCCCCCCCCCCCCCCCCCCCCCCCCCCCCCCCC